GACACATGCTTACCGATAATTTTGCCCACGCGAGGAATCACGAGTGCTGGTTGCACTGAAAACTGCCCGAGGGCTTGCCCGAGGGCAGTTTTCTAAGGGCAACCAGTACGAGGATTCTTCGCAAGGGCAAAATTATCCGTAAGCGTGTCGCCCGCGCTTATATTCTGCAGATAATTTCACGAAACACCGTAGAAATTGTGATTAAAAATCGGGTGAATCCCAATAAACAGACATATAAAACATACATAACAAATATGTAAGATTAAGATAAAAACTTATATATTTAGTTTTTTATGTATCATATATATCAGAACTACTATGTTATTTAGGAGTTCATTAATTTTTATATATATTATATATAAAAAAACTATATGTAGCCCATATATCAAAAAAGAGTTGTATGAATTACAGCAATACTAAATATATTAACATTACATAACAAATTTATGTATTTAATATATACATATGAGTATATGATATACTTAATGAATAATGTCACCAAAAAAATGTACATTTTATGTCAGATATCTGCTACCCACCATGTACTGTATGTTTTGCTACATCCGATATACATAAAATTAACTGAAGAGGCGACAGCCAGCTCAGCACTAGCGCAAGCGCACGCTGCTTGATTACCGTTATACAGTGATTAGTGATAATTTACGTCTTTTTTTTATTATAAATACAATATTCATTATTGAATCTGATTAGGTACTATTGTATTTATAAATTTTGTGCTGTGTTAGTCTACCGACGTGAAGAACTGAAGATATAGTATTAGAGGTTAGTATAATTTTATTCTTCACATGCTAATTTTTCCTAACCTTAAATATACCATAATTTCTGAGCGGGAATTGTTTGTTCCTTGTGTAGGTATAAATAAACCTGTGTAAATGCTTATTTTAGTTACTTGAATGATGAATAACGAGCGTAAAATTAAAGATTTTAGTGAGTTGACTACCCGACAACAAAGACGAAGAGTGCTTTCCCATTTACATTTACATCATCGTTCGGTTCATGCATCACAGCTTTCTTCTACAGATATTGTTCACAGCACCCAAGAAACTACGCAGGAACCTATACCGTCAACATCAAAAGCTGTAACAATTGACGAGCATAGTGAAATATTTGATAGTACATTGTCATCGTCTACTTTATCTACAGCTGATGCTAGTATAAAATCCTCAGATATATCTGTTTACCATCCCGTTTCATCACATAAAATTGTATCTAATTTTGAAAGTGACCTCCGTGCTTTAATTATAAAACATCATGTATCGCATCAATTCGTAAATGATTTATTACCCCTGCTACGTGATAATGGGCATAATTCTTTACCAAGGGACGTTCGCACGTTCATGAAAACACCCGTTAATACATCAAGTATCGTGAACAGTTGTGCAGGTGGACATTATATTCATTTTGGTTTCGAGAAGATGTTACATCACTCTTTAGTACATTATAATTATACATCTCCAGTTGTCAGCATTAACTTTAACATCGATGGACTACCTATATCGAAGAGTTCAAATTCACAATTGTGGCCAATTCAAGGTGCGATTTGTATAAAGGACACATACACAGAACCATTTATTGTAGGTTTGTTTTATGGTGCCAAGAAACCATCAGATGCAAATGAATACTTGAAACCTTTTTGTGATGAGGCCAAGGGACTTTTAATGAATGGAATTTATGTAAATAATAATCATATATCCATTAAGATAAATGCTATCATATGTGATGCTCCTGCCAGAGCATTTATAGCAGGAATTAAAAGTCACACTGGATACTTTGGATGTTCCAAGTGTACTACGGAAGGAACTTTTACTGACAATAGAGTCATATTTCCCCAATTAAATGCAACTCTGCGTTCAGATGTCTCATTTTTACAGAAAATTCAGGAAGAACATCATAAATCGGATACTATACTACATCACAGTTTAAATATTGGCATGGTAACTCAACTTCCACTTGATTACATGCACCTTGTGTGTCTGGGAGTTGTCAAAAGGATGCTCCAGTTTTGGATAAATGGAAAAAAAGATTTACGTTTAGGAGATACTTCTAAGGAAATTTTAAATAAGAAATATATGTCGTACAGGCAGTTAATACCTTGCGAATTTAGTCGAATGCCTAGAAGTGTATCTGAAATTGATCGCTGGAAGGCCACAGAATTGCGTTTTTTTTAATGTATGGTGGTGTAATTGCCTTGAAAGATATACTGAGTGAACAATATTATGAACATTTTTTATGTTTAAGTGTGGCTATTCGTATTTTGTGTAACAGTGAATTAATCAAACAATATTTAGAGTACGCTGAGAAACTTTTGTTGCACTTTGTAAAAAAATATTCTGGTTTATATGGTGAACGTTATATGTCCTATAACGTTCATAACCTTATTCACGTTTGTAATGATGTCAAGATATTTGGTGCCCTCGATAATTATAGTGCATTTAAATTTGAAAATTATATGTGCGAGATCAAAAAAAACCTCAAAACTGGTTCTAATCCTTTACAACAAATATTTAATCGGATTATGGAGAAGAATAATCAAATAAGTTTAGTTCACTGATTCCACTGAAAGCTTAATATTTAGCATATATGCAACTAGTAGTTTAAGGAATTTTCAAATCGATGAACATGAACATTAATAATTCATTAGTGAAATTTTTGATGAACTGAAAATTAAGTAACATTGACGTTTAGATGCAGGACAAGTCGTATGCGGTGGTTGCCTTTCTGGATGAAGAGGACAGCTACTCGGAAATCCCGTCATTTTGGCTGTCCCACAATAACACTAAGTGTTGGTGGCCAAAGAGTAAAACACCTTCAAATTTTATAAAACGTGGAGCAAAACCCGACCCCGCAAAATGGAGTTTATGCAGTGTAAGAGTTGAAGGAACTTTTTCTAAGTTTTTTTCTTGGTTTCTAGTTAGTGAATTGTAATGAATTTTACTGCATTGTGTAGGTACGAAAAATGGTGGCTTTAAATTACTGATTTTGCTTGTACCATGATTTGTACATCTGTGTTAATCATCACTTCAAAGGGGGTTGCGGAATAAGAATGGTTAATTGGCCCCCGTCGAGTTAGAATCTATCGACCTGATAATATCGAAGGAAAATCACATTTTTTCTTAGTATAGAGAATTCTTAAGAAAATAAGAAGTTGCAGATATCTTCTAAAATTTTGTTTTGAGATCCCCTTCGATATTATCGGCTCGATAGAATCAAACTCGACGGGGGCCAATTGACCATTCTTATCCTGCTACGTCCTTTAATTTACGAACTACTCATATAAACTTTGTTTTAGCGACTTTAGAAGAAGCCAGAAAAAGGGCTGAAAATGAAGATTATACCTCTTCGGAGGAAGTCCAACGCAACAGGAAGAAAAATCCAAAATATGTGGATTCCCAACTAGCTATTACAAGTGATGAAGGTAAATTAAATATTCCTTTCATCAAACATATGTCTAATGCCAATTTAATGATAGAATATTCAACAAGTCGAAGTGGAACACCGCCACCACAAATGTGTGAAGAAGTTTTAGTCTATGCTTCACCTTCAACATCACCCATTAATCTAGAACAAATGCCAGTTATAATTGCAGATAACATCGTCGAGTCTGGTAAAATATATTCCTTTATACTTCACGGCAAACCTAGAATTATTTTAAATATATGAAGTTGCCTAATATATGCACGTTTATAATGTCTTTAAAATATTTGTACTTAATTTTGGAACACTGTATGCTATGGCTTTTACGAATCTGCTTTTATAGGTACCGTACAAGCTGCCACTAATTCGTACGGTTATACGTTAGGTAAGCATTTATTTTATTTTTTTCTTATGGTAATTATATGTTTGTATTTTTTTCTAGATAAAATATATGAACTACTTGTAAGTACGAACTTATATGTAAAAGGTATATCAGCACGACTAGAGAAAATGGAAAATTCAAGAAAAATTGAGAGTGTCAATAATCATGATGCACTGAAAGATTTAAGAAAAATGTTGCCCTTAAGCAGCACAGATGATATAAATCAATTTGAAATATTTCTTGGGGATGATGAACAAAAGAAAATTTTTGTAAGTATATTTAGGTATAAAAGTGTTCTGCAAATTTAAATTATTTCAGACAAATTTTATATCCTCTATAGGAGGTAGGAATGTGAAAGATAATATTCACAGATGTTTGAAATCAATATTCTCTAATGAAGCTGCTACCAAATGTTCGTGGCTAGGCCAACGAGGCAATTTTCGCGTTTGTGATCTATCTTCAATAACTGTCCTAAAAGGTACTATTGTTTTTGTTGAGATGTTTATAAATGATGTACATTATTTTGCAGATCAGATCCAAGTCAACTATAATATAACATTAAAAGAGTTTGAAGTCATTGGTAGCGAATGGTTCCGTTTGTCAAAATTAAGGTTAAAACCAGATAAACGCAACCCTGATTCTTCTAATGTCGTCAACTAGTATTATAATCTATTATATAATATAAAATATACATTTTGTTCAATATATTGTATTTAAGTAAAAATGAATATATCGTATTTACATAAATTTCTATATGTTTATTTAGTACAAATATTTACATCATATATATATATATATATATATATATATATAAACTGATGTATATTTACATAAAAAAATTTACATTATATATATAATACTGATGTATATTTACATCAAGAAATTTACATAAAATATACAGATTTGGTATTTAGAAAATTGCTGACATTTTGATATGAAATATCTCTTATTCATCTCCCAATATTACATAATTCTAACAAGCTTGTACATAATTTATACATACATTTTATATAATTATGTTTGTTGGGATATTACCGTGAAATTCTAGTTGCTTGTTTTATTCAGCATTTTTATAGCAACTAAAACAATTTATACCAACAAATCTCAAATTTGACCAGTGCGTCGGTTATTTATAGTAATACACCTAATATTCTGCGCGAATCCTGCTTTCTGCTGAACAAATATGAGCACTACGCGATTCGGTGAGGCTTCCGAAGCTACTATTAACGTGGCTATCGATCAAGTGACGCCAATAAATACTAAGAAATCGAATGGTTACGTATGGAAGCAGTTTCATGAATTTTGCGGACAACGAGGTTACGAATTAACAAGAACGACGCCCACCACAAAACTTGCCCTAATTATGAAGGATTGGGGGTACAACATGAAACAGAAGAATGGAGAAGACTATAAGGAATCGGTGATAAAAACAATGTGGAACGTGACCGCCAAGCAGCTTCAAAAATTGTATTTTCAAGAATTCGGTGTAAGGTTTGATCCATTTTCTGACGTGGAGTTTAAACAAAGTCGCGCCGCCCGAGACGCTAAAAGACGTGAACTGCAGAAGCTACCTGAAAAACGGAAGTGCAGCTCATCTGCCCTGAGTGATGCGGAATATAAAGATATTGTTTCAAAGCTCGACGAGGATACACCTGACGGTTTGGAACGAAAATTCTACTACATTGCTAGCTATGAACTGGCTTGGCGAGGAGGGGAAGCCGCAGTTGCTGAGGTGAATTTTTTCCACGACGAGGTAAGCAATTCCAGCGTCTGGTCCGGAAGAATAGAATACAACCCAGTATTTAGTAAGACTGCACAAGGTGGAGGTCGGAAACTAGCAGACAGCAAATGGCTGGTAGCTAACACGGAGAAGTCGGAATTTTGTCCTGTGAGGTATCAATTGTTATTTTGTAAAATTACAAGTTTATTTAGTATCATCTGAATAATTCAGGTTATTCAAGAAGCTCCTGAGTAAGAGAGGACCAAATGTTACTACAAACAGGCTGTTCCTGACTCCCAAACCCACTATGGAGGGATCCTTCTTCCGTTGGCTGGTACAAAAATTCTCCTGTTGGAAAAAATCAAATAGGGAAATGGACGAAATCTGATGCGAAACAAATCGGCGTTGATACAACAATAACGAAAATCACCAATCACTCTTTGAGATCCTCAGCAGTCTCCCATTTGGCAAGAGAGGGTGTTGGCGAAGAGCAGTTAATAAAGATTACTGGACATGCGAGCACAGCTTCCATTAAGCCCTACCTCCAGCTGGATTCATGTCATCATGCTAAAATAATAGGAAAAATGAGGAATGAAGCATCATCGTCCACTTATTCTTCAACTTTAATTACAAGTTCCAGCTCATCGAGCTCCTCAACAAATCTTGAAAAAGAGTGTGACAGCGCAAAAAACCTAGAATTATGAATTTTTATAATTGTACCTTTCATAGCAATCAATTTTGATTTTTAAAAGCTTGTATAATTTAGAGTTTCAACTCTTCAAGAAAAGAAATAATTGCTTATTACATATGTTGTTTCTTTCTCCAGCTACGATTATTTTTGAGTTTTCATTATGACGGGTCGTATGCGGGACGTCACCAATAATCTTCCCTAGGGCGATTATCGCGATAACCATCCCTAGAGAAATTATCAGAAAATGAGATCCTGATTGGGCAGTTTTTTCAAAATGGACAGTTTTGATTTGGCCGCGTCAGTCATGTGACAGTTGAGTGTAATTATCCTTTATCATTTCGTTTTTGTCCTATTTGCCACTTTACTCCGTTTCCCTCCGTTTTCCCTTTCCAACTTACATGGCAAACATGCGCGGGAAGGGGAATCGAGAAGGATAGATTGCGGGGACTGCGCACTAGAAAACCACCGAGTTCGGTCGTCGAATTAAGAGAAACCACAAGCCACAAACTGGTGTTCGTTCGTCAATAGATTCGTCGTCGTTCAACAATTTCGTACCGTTTAACGGTAATTACTTGCAACCCTTCGTCGCCTGTTTATCCACCCTAGTGGACAATTGAACCACCAGCGCTCGCCTTCGTCGATAAACAAGTAAGTTCCTTTTATTAATTCGTCCTGTCAACCTCAATTTTGCAGTGAGCCGCTCTTACCGGTCCGCCAAGACCTATTTTCAAATCATAGTTCATACTACACATTAATTTTGTCATTTGTATAATGTAATAAATAGTTTGTTTGCGTATATTTCTTTTCAATTTCCTTTTTAGATAAGGCACGAGAAAGATTTCCTTTTCATCATACAGTCCACTTAATCGTTCGTTAATTAATCCTTTGTACCAGTGCGTAACACATTCATAAACCTAAACTACGATTCCTGTTATTCATATACTGTTAGAAATGGTTTTATAGAAATGTCAATCGATGAGAGCAATAATCACGAAGAGGCTGATACAAAAATAGTCCACCATGTGTGTACCTAAACTTGATACATATTCAAAGACGAATGTTCTTCTTAAAACTTCTGATACAGATGTTTTAATAATTATGCTGTGAAACATAGATCATCTTCAAAGCGACGATCTCGAAATTTTTATGGAGTATGGCACCGGAAATTCAAAAACACATGGAATTGGGGCCATCTTTATGCACAAGTTTACCTGGGTTTCATGCATTGACAGGATGTGATTACTACTGATTACAATCCGTCATTTTTTCAAAAAGGCAAGATAAGACCGTTTAAAATATTAAAGAAAAATGAAGAATATCAAAAAGCATTGAAGGATCTTGGAGTTGCTGACATATCTGCTTCACGAGACGAAATTTTTCCAATTTTAGAAAAATTTGTTTGTGAAATTTATGGCTATATGTATATCCAACATAAATGCTGCACGATTTCAAAAATTTTGTTCTACTTACAAAGTTTGTAGAAGATGAGCCTTTTAGAAAGTCTTTGATCCATCTACTTTGCCTCCGTGTAAAGTTGAACTGGAACATCTTCTAAAAACGCAATATATAACGAGTATTTGGCGAAATGCACATTTGCGATTGCCCAGTTCTTTAACACCGGCACATCAAAAATGGATGGCTACTAAATACTGATAGACTTGATTTTCATTGGTTTGATGGAGACTGTATGCCCCAATTAGTATTCGATGCTATTATTAATGAAAAAACTAATGCCGGCCATACATTAGCACACGGCGGTGTGCGGATCTAATCCGTCGGACTTGGTCGCCCATCAAACGTGCGTGTGTATGTCATTGTCCGTCAATGTTCGCGCACTGTTTATCGGACCAAAAGTCCTCGTGAGCGAGATTGAACCCGCCCGATTTTTCGGACAGTTTCGTTACAGTTCACGCGTAAATTTTAATCCCGTTTTACAATTTATGCAAGTAGAAACCTATACATAATATCATACAGTACTTTACTCTATGATAATATTGATGTTTTTTATTTCCAGATTCAAGAAGACCGAAAATATAATTCAGAGGAATATATTCGCGGCTTGCTCGCAAAATATAAAGACTTTCCGTGTCTTTGGAAAGTAAAGTCAAAATGTTATTCAAACAGCAATATGAAGGGAGACGCATATAAAGAATTAAGCAGGCCTTCCACGTGCATTCATTTCATCGAACTTGGAGTGTACACTCCTACAAACAGACCAAGTTCGAACGTGGAAGTGGTCATCGCGCAAAGTTTGCATCGTTCTTGGTGCGGAGCGAAGAGTTTTGCCAATCCTAAACTCTTGGCGTGGAGCGATGCTGGGCGCGCGCGTGGATGTGGTTGTCGCTCCTGGAGTTAAGACATAACTGAGACGTGGAAGGCCTGCTTTAGTAAAGTACACAAAAGACACAATTGATGAACATGCCACAGTTGATGTGATAAAGAAGAAAATTGGTACGCTAAGACGAACATTCAGAAGAGAACTACTAAAAGTAAAGGAGTCAAAGAAATCCGGCGCAGGGGGAGACGATATTTACACTCCGCATTTATGGTACTATAGTCTACTGCTTTTCACGTCTGATCAAGAGGAACCCCGTGACACAATTTCTAATGATATTGCGCTGGAACTCAACGACTGCAGCTTGCAGACAGACTAAACACTTTTATTGCCTGAGTGTACCACTCTGATATCTCGTTTCTGATTGGAGACCGCGTGCGACAGACCTCCAGAAACTGTTGGTGAGGTGACCCAAATCTGCCCGCGTGACGGATCGCGAGTGGACAAGCGGGGTACCGCGTCCTGTGACATGCTTCATAAGAAAAGCATCAAACAATTCAACGAGCCCTTAAGGCAAAATTTTCCCGCTGACATTGTCCGACGGACCAGATCCGCACACTACACCGCTAATGTATGATCGGTTTAATACTGTCGAAAGTATCACTACAGGTGAGCTTAAATATATTTTTTTTGCATTCCTTCGTTCTAAATCGCGTTTTCCCAATAAAACACGAAAGTCGGGAACGTCAATTTTACAATTGACTATCTACTTTCGCGCACTAGTGCCTAAAAATTCAACGAAATTATCTATTTAGTGCGGATCATAAACTAATAAGTAGTATGATGGAAGAGTAAAAAGAAAATATAAATACACTTTACAACATTCCCTGTAGTACAGGGGCTAAAATAAGCTTAAACCAGAAGTTTTGAACAATAAATTGACATTTTAAATTTCTAGATCTCTACTTTATCGGCATAGAGGACTTCATTTTTTCAAAAGAATTATAATGTCGCAGAAATCTCGCGAAAAGGATTTGAATTTATATAAATTCGATTTAACTAATCCGTGCAAAAAATAGAATACATGTTACGTGCGTGAACAGTATTTGCTTGATTCGCGCGAGATGCGTCGCTCGTGCGCGTTGCGCACTCGCGCCGCCAAACTTCGCGCTCATCTGCAAAATAACTGTTCCCGCACTAATAATGTAAATAACTATTTCCTTTATAATTGCAGCATTCGTTCTTCACAGATAGTGCAGCGGAGAGAGCCGCGAAATCGAAAAATTTTTTCGGAGTAGAAAGAATTGGGACCCACACCATTTTGTTCAGAAATGTTTGAACCTTCAGAATCTCGCTTTACGACATTTTCCCGTGGTCCTGACAAAAGTTATAGGCCGCTAAAGTTGAACTTTACTCATTTTCGCGCGCGCGACTAGACCACCGAAAGTATTTAATTATTATTATTAAGTATTTATTTCAAATAAGCGAGTTAGCGCCGGCTCTCCGCTGCACTAAGACCATGCAGAAGATTCCGAAGAGGAAGAAGGAGAAGAGGAAGCATCTTCCAGCTCCGATAAGTTCACAGAAGAATCTGACGTTGAATAAATAAATAAAGATAATTTTTTATACTTGTTTGAGCAAATAACACCGCTATATCGTAGGACGCAGAAAGCTGCCCATATACGCACTCTCTCTCACACCGCAACTTACCTATATAGCACTGTTCACTCACATCTTCTGGATCACCTGGCAGGTAGAATGTCTCACCGAAATTTAATTAAAGTAAGTACTTAACACTATTACCTAAGCCAGAAAAACGCCATCTACAATTTGGTCTTCAGCGGCATCTATCTATCACCAATTGAACACGAGTGGGGTATGATGGGTCGATGGGGATGTATAAATGTAACAGAAATAGCAACTCCCGGAAATCAATTATGTTTTGGTATATATTACCATTTTAATAAAAGTGAAAATGAAGTTTCCAGCATTTTAGATAGGTAAATAAGTCGTTTCACTAACTAATAATAACACTATTTAGTAACGCTGTTCACTTGGGCACAACATTCATTCAATAGTTATTTACCTGAAAATCAGGAAAATGACATTAATGTAAGTTCCCAGTCAAGTAGTGTCATTTTACGATGAGTTTTGTATTGCATTTTTCCTGAAATCGTCTTTTTTCATATAAAATTTCTAATTATATAAAACTTTTTATTAATGGTATCATGTCAGTTTTGATCACAGGTGGTAAGAAAAGTAGTTTGGTAAAGTGATACTGATACTGTCATAGAAACAAAAATTTCCTGACAACGTGGGCACATGAATGAATGTTTCATGATGATTTCAAGAAAATAAATTTTTTCTATTTCGGTGTTACAATGAGAATTTTGTGCAACTGTTTTCGGCAAAAACAATGTTTCAATGAGTTCCATTGTAACATTGTTTTTGGTAACTTTTCATCTCTAAGTTGGCAGTTCGCCAAGACGTCAACGTCAAATCATCAGATGTGAAATCAAATTACGTAAAATTTATGTGTTTTCCTTGATTTTTGGTACACGAAGAACTTAATACATTCCAAATCAGCAGTTTACACATCCACCATAAATAAATTTATCTACGAGTAAAAAAATACACATTCACGGAATTTAAAGATTCCAAATGTCAGTGTTGTGTTTATCTACGCTGCCAACTTAAGACGGGAGTCGAGTACGAGTATTTTAGTAAATGACCGATACGCGCGCTAGTTGTCCGTGAATTGAAAAAAATCAGAGAGTAAAACCAAATATGCGAAAATTCTATGCACATTGCTCTTCCAGCTACTCACGAGCTACTCAAAATATTCACTCTTTTTTGCGTGTAGGTGGCAGCAGTGTAATTTAGCAAGAACTGTACCTTTGTTTTGAACCGCACTCAAGTGCTTATCTGCGTAGTGGTAGTGCCGAGGGGTAAATCACTAGTGGAAATAGGTGTACAGGTACGTGGAAATAAAATGGAAATATGTGGAAATAAAGTGGAAATAAATGGAAATAAATGGAAATAAGTGGAAATAAGTGGAAATAAATGGAAATAAGTGGAAATAAGTGGAAATAAAATGGAAATAAGTGGAAATAAAGATGAAATAGAACGGAAATAAGTGGAAATACAGTAGAAAAATTTCAATTAGCTACAAAAACGATGAATCATACTGAACGAAAAAGTGTTAAGTTTACTTAAGGTACTTTCTATCCCAAACTCTAAAAATGACGAATCAGGTAGATATCCTTCAACGAAAACAATACGTTTTTGTATTGGTAACTCGTAAAACCGCCTCGAAAACCGTCTAGTAGGTATCCTTTTTCAGCACTGTAGGCAGAAGTTGCAGTATTGCACAACGGGTGAATATTTTTAAATTACAGTTGTAAGCGAAGTTATAGTAACGGTTGTACCTCGTGGCTACTAGGCTACAATTATTAATTTTAATAGCATAGTGTGGCGCGAAGTGTCAAAAGCAGTGTGCTTGGTAGTGTGCTCGCGAGTGTGCTCGGTAGTGTGCTTTTGATTTGAAGACGGCAAATCTGAGGACAAATCTATCTTTTTTATGTTTATTATATCACAATCAGAAGAGGGTAAGAACATTTTTTTTCTCCTTAGAACATACATTAACATAATCGTCTTTTAGTTAAAAACCGTCACAGAATGCCTTAAATGATTTAACATTGAGGAATAATTGCATAAGTTGCCATAGCACATTTCGGATCCTTAACACGGTTTTTAACTATGGCGTCTAATACATCACCTGAAAACGAAACCCGAGACGAAACCCCTACAAGTGCCACAGAAAAAGGGGAATTAGCAGATTTATATGAACGGCCGGAAAATGAATTAAACATTAAATTACCTCCCTATCTAAAAAAATTGCTCAATCTAAACGGATACGACAGTGCCTCTTTATTAGCTACAATTAATGACAATGACATATTAGAAATAGAAACCTTTGCTAGGGAGACTTTACCAACAATCATCAGTGAATCTGATTATGAAGCATATTACGGAATTTTTAAAACAAACGTGCAGGCTTTTAAAATAGTAAGTGGTCATAGAAAGATGCTTTCAATGATCTCACTTTTTTACAAAACATTACTCCAAAAAAAAGAATCAAATCTGAAACTGGCACCGTCACCCGCACCAATACAACTTTCTTGTGAATCTGCAACAACCTCGGCAACAACTAAATCTATAACCGAATCGCAAAATAAACCATTAATATGTTTAAATGTTAATATAAATGATGAAAATTCACACATTAAGCACATCGCTAGAGATTTTTTGAAAAGCAATTTCGGGTATGCTGCGAATGATGAAGATTTTCTTCTGACGGTGATACAAGACTGCTAAAGGTCATGAGAAAGACATCGAAGTTTCACTGTGACTATACCGACCAGAATAATGATATTGGTGTTAAAGATCTTGTAGACGGCGAAGATTGGAAATCTCGGTGGAAATGGTTTAATATGAAAATGGATAATGACAATATTTGTGTACAGGATACTATACACATCGCAACAAAATTAAAGACGAGATTCTTAAACCAGAATGTAAAGTTGCAAATGGGAGATTTGGAAGTTTCTCAAAATTATATAAAGCGACTTATAGAAGACGAAACCAAAGACAAACACCTATTGACTCTCTCTGATTTAAAGGCAGATGATAAGATGAATTTTAAGGCTGCCGAAAAATTGTCATCAGAACTGGTTACGTCCTTATTAGAAAAAATGCACGACGGTGTAAATGGAGGAGCTGCAAGAGCTACTATCATATATTTGAAAATAATGCGTTACGTTATTAGATCTTTTTTGTTTAAGGAAGAAACAATTAAAAACAGAATTCATTGCTTGTGGTATTGTGTATTTTTCCTAAGGATTTGGAGAGATTGGTTACACAATAACGATTCTGTCTCTTCTCAAAAATCTTTTATTTCTTTAAAGTGCTATTTATGTGTCGAACTTAATGCCCATGCAATGATAAAATTAATTAGACGGTACAGAGACGATAAAAATTTACGAAACTGCAACTTTACTCCGTGGTTGTACAGCTCCCAGCCATGCGAACAAATGTTTAGGGCCACTCGATCGTTGACTTCTACATTTTCAACAATAGTGAATTTCAGTCTTCTGGAAATTTCCCAAAGAATCAATAAAATTCAATACATTAATAATGCAGTAGCAGATTTGTGTGATAACTTTGTATTTCCACGAGAAATACACAAAAAAATTGGTGGTATGCAGCATAGTACCGATGTATTGCAATTCGACCATATAACAGACGATTGTATCGAAGACTGGGTTAAAAATTCTTTGAATGAAGTAAAGAAAGATTGTGAGCTATTAAATATACCTTTCAACGATTCATGGCAAAGTATTAAATATTTGCATAGCTACCACAGTGATGACAATGAACAACTTGAAGAAGGTGATACAAACAATACCCAACATATTTTTGGGATCGCTAATGAGGATACAGCATGCAACAACAAAACTAACTCTTTCGATGAAGTAGTGAAAAATGGAATAAACGAATTATTAACTGAAGACTCGATTTCTATGGAAGAGAATGAACAACCCGATGATGTTTCTAATGATCTCTTGAAAGGCTTTGGTGATACGTTACAATTAAAGGACTGCGGAAAACGTGATAAGAATTCCTCTTTTATAGATGTAAGAGTTGGCGATAAAGAACTCACTATTCGAAAATCATCGTTATGTTGGCTTCTGACTAATCAATCTTGCAAGATGAGTGCTGATCGGTTAATGAGATTTCGAAACTCTCAAAATTCTCCAGTGGCAAACAGTGATCATCAAAATAAATATGACCCTGTCATAGTCAACGAAAACTATTATGCCGTATATTACTATGACAACTGGTATATTGGACGTGTCTTAGAAGAACCATCCCCCAAAATGTATGTAATTAAGTTTCTTAAAGAATCGTTAGATTCATACGATTGGCCAAAAACAGACGACATTCAGAATGTCAGTGCAGAATATATTTTTTTTGGACCTATCACTATGTACGGTACAAAACCTATGACAATAAGTAAGTTTGATAAACAAAAAATTGTGGTCAAGTACAAGGCTTTGAAGCGCAAAGAATGTAATGATAAATAATATTACTGTTGTAGGTATGTATACCTATTCTATATTACTCGTTAGATTTTAGTTAATTAAGCAATATGTCATACTAATTCCGTTTTATGTATATTAACCTCAATATTAACATTATTAACTAGAACAATGTGCATCTTATTTTCTTATTATTCTTTTGCGTTAAAAATAGTTGTTATGAACCATTTTTTAAGAAATAAAATAAACCTTTTTTCAAATAAAAGGAAATTTATTTAATATGTGGAAATACAGTGGAAATATGTGCAAATAAAATGGAAATAAAGTGGAAATGTATGGAAATAAAGTGGAAATATGTGGAAATAAAGTGGAAATATGTGGAAATAAAGTGGAAATATGTGGAAATATTGTGGAAATATGTGGAAATATTGTGGAAATATGTGGAAATAAAGTGGAAATATGTGGAAATATTAAGTGTAGTGGAAATAGGTGTACACAAATTACCTGCGTGATTTACCCCTCGGGTAGTGCGTTTGCATTTTTGCAATATGAAACCGGACGCTGTCAAGCAATTTTTTCTCACGATCTTACGATTCGACTAGTACAACCAAAGATATTATCTTTGGTACGGTACAACTCACGATATTGTCTAATTACACTAATTACAGGAAAATAAGAAGTACATCTGCTCGCTATATCGGTTTTGTCAATTTTTTTTCTAAAATAAAAACACAATAAACTCATAAATAACTGCCAAGGCCAACGTCCGGACCCCGAGGGCTCGGAAGGCAAAGGACTGAAACTGAAAACAAACCAGATCCCAGATCTTTTATAAACAAATGTTTGTAAAACGGCAGGATGCCATAGTTAGACAAAGTTCAAAAATGTACGCAAAGTATACGTAATTCTAATTTAATATCCACCTTACAAAACAAAGCCTGATGTTGCGTTTTTAAATTAGACAAAATTAATAACTTATTTACTAAGAAATACTGTTACGATCCTAATCGTACAAGCAGAGTACACAAATCGAATTTGTCTTTCATTATTTCACAAGTTGAATCTAAATCTATATTTAAATATACGACGTTGAATAAATAACTAGGTTTATCATATTATTTTTCGAACGGACAACTTTTTCATTGACACTCTTGCGATAAAAAAAACCAACACGACCAAAGTGCACATGCACTCCACCCCACTTTTTCTTGGAAGCAATAAATCTTTTTGATGCGATAAGATCGCACCCGTCGCCGCGCTTCATGCGATCGTGTCAGTTTTGTGAATTTTAGTGTGGTCAGTGAATTTTTCGTTTATTTTGTGATTTTGAGTAATAAAACAATATCTATCATGCGTGAATATTCTCGTATTCGTAAAAAGAATCGCCGTGCTAAATCGGCAAGAGCCAGAAGAGCTAGGGAAAGCTCTCAAACTAAAGCCACGTAAGTACCTATCTGAATAACACCACTTTATAAAAATCAAATATTTTACCACAGCAATAGTTAGTGGGTCATTCCATCTCAAATCGCCCAGCTAAAAAAACAAATTGTCGTGTTTAATTTTTTTCGCGATATATGATGAAAATAATAAGACACGTTTTTTATAGATCAATACGTTTTAGTCAGAAACCGAACAATGAATCTCAGATGGGTTCCACAATGGAATTGGATAATGTCACTGAAATGGAACTACAGCCATCGACATCTACCTCATCCATGCCAATTCAAGAGAAATCTATAGAAGATGCAGAACTTGAGTCTGAAAATTCTTTGCAAGGATTACACAGCCACTCGCACAAGTTGTAGTCTGTCTAAGAGAGTGAATGATTGGACTAAGATAATTGATTTGGTGATATGCCAGAAATCAATACAATTACCTTGTCACACGCCCTTACAAAATTGTTATCTTCGAATCAATAACAAATATTTCTTTCAGAAATCCAAACTGGATTTCTAACGTATATGGTAGGCGTAAAACTTTAGAAGAGCGTTGGGATGGGAGATGAACTACAAGCAGAAGCAGCAAGGTATAAAATTCATTTCTTATTTTTAAACAATGAGACGTCAAAAAGTGAAATTTTAGGATTGAGGATGAGGCTTAGGAAATTGAGACTGATCCTGCACCCAAACCTATTATCACCGGCAACAGAATAGTGGAATTAAATTATGTACTTTTTTTTTTTTTTTTTTTTTTTTTTTTTTTTTTTTGGAGGGCAATTTACTGCTATGAGTCATATACCCCAAT